CTTTCTAGTTTTTTTCCTCTTTACATTTTCATATGTTTGAGATCATGTTCTCTACAATTTTTCTATGTTTTAATAATGTTGATATTCTCTAAATTAATTGATAAATTTAGTGCAATTCCAAGAAAAATCCCAACAGGATTTTTTTTTATCCAATTAGACTAATGAACTCTAAAATTAATACAAAAAAAAGAGTAAGATTAAAAACGTTTTAGAGCTATAATGATTAAAACAGTAAGGCACTGGCATAAGCTAGAGAAAAGGATCAGAAGAGACGCATGCACCCACACCACCAAGGTATGTAACAAAGAGAGGTGGCGTTATCCCTGAGAGGGAAAGGCGGCGCGGCAGTAAGCACACTGTCCCTTGGCCACCCCAGGGCAGGGGCAGGATCATTTAGCCAGGATCCCAGGGAGGGAGCAGTCTGATGGGCCACCTCTCCTGGTAGACTGCCTCAGCATTCCCTCTGAGGTTGATTTCTCTTCCCTGGTAGCTGGGAAGTTCCTCTGAGCAAGAGATGCCAGAATTTCATTTCTAGGGGGAAATGCCTATCGTCATAGTTCAGTGAAGGAACATTCTCCTTTGCAGGTGGAGGCTTAGGGGGTCGTCCAGCTGCTGCCGACCCAGAGCCAATGTGCACCGAGTGGTTCCCAGCCCTCGGGAAAGCGGAGAGCAAGGTCTCGAGGGAAGGACAGGGAACCAAAAACGGCAATGAAAGTGTCGGAGCAGACCTCAGGGCTGAAAGGGGAACCAAGAGGCTCCCATCAACCACTTCAGCGTCTCCCCAGGAACATCGGCCTCGAGGCTCGACTTTGGCTATTTCTGTCCGTAGAGTTTCTCACTTGTGCGTGTGAGGGAGGAAGGGGGGGGCGGAGAAAAGAGAAGCAAAAGGACCTAATCCCAACCAACGAGACTGTAGATCATTCTTATCTAAATGAATGGAAGCTCTTCCAAATTCATCCACCATCCCCACCTCTGTGGCCACACATGGGGAGGCAGCTTGTGGTCACCTGTCAATGGTGGCTCATCTTCTAACCAGTCCTTTAATCAGCCAGGAGAAGACAATTCTGCCGGCACCTAGATAAGCCACAGTGGAAATGAGAAGGAGAAAGAAAGGAGAGGAAAGAGAGGGGACAGGGAAGGAGGGAGGAAGGATTTCAAAGTTGGGAAATATTTTTGAACTCAGAAAAGAAGCAATAACCAAATATTTTTTTTTCTAATAATGAAAGAAAGAAAGACGTATTGATGTGTCTACCAAATTAGGAAAGAATTTCTATGAAAGCATTTGGTGAAATGGGAATGGGACAGTGAGATGAACAGGGGAGAACTTTCTAGAAAGCATTTGGCATTAGGTATCCATATTCAAAACCAGTGATTCATGAATTTCAGGTTTGGAACATCTTTATACACAAAATGCTGGAAAATTCAGAGGCACTAAAATATTCATTATTGTAGCAGGACTTAAAGTAGATAAAAGTATTGAGAACACTATAAATATTTAACAATACATATAATTTAGTTAATTATGAAATATCCACAAGAGGAATACTATATAATCATGAAGATAATATTCATAGAGGTTTAATAACATGGAGATTTTTTTGCTTATGCTAAATGTACAGAGGCAGACATATAGATAAATAAAACAGGAAAAATATAGAGAATCTGATCTCGAACATGTAGAAATTCACAGAGGAAAGAACTAGAAATAATTATAATAAAACAATAGTATGTTTTCTTCTTGATAGTTCATCCTAGTTTTTTTACCCAAATTTCTGTCAAGCACTTTAAGATCTACCTTCTGGAAACCCAACAAATCTTACATTCCACTCCCATTTCTTAACAAAACTTTGTTCTAAAAAGAGAGCAATTTAAGGCCCTCCTTCTGATAAAGCTTCTGATGTGACCATGACTTTTTTCAGAATTGCTGAAGAGAGCCAGGCATCATGACAAAGGGCTTTTCTTCTCCAAAGAGCGGGACCCTGACTTCCTGTAGTCTAAGACTATCACGATATCTATCCCAGGAAAAGTGCTACCTGCCAAAGAACTCTTTCGCCCTCTCAAAGACATCCACAGCCTCTTCAATCTGCAAAAGCAGCTCAACAAATAGGAATTCTTTGCTCTTTTTGATTCATCCAAAGCATCCCCCAGTTTATCGTGAGTGGCTCTGGGGCTAAACATGGGCCTCACACCTCCGTTGAGTCCATGAAGAGATGACATCGTCTTGAGGAAAATCTTTGACCTTCAAAACTTGAGCTCGATTTTGAAAGTGATCCCTATAGCTCAGTGTGTTTTGAGAAGGGGTGGTGTAAGTGTATCCACCAGAACCTCAGGACACAGTCCTGCAGTATTCAATGCCTGCTTTGGTTGTGAAAATCAGACCAAAGAATGCTGTCTGAGGCTATCGACACTTTCAGTTGTCATTTTCCAACTGAAGTATCCTTAATGTAAACAATGACAGATGTCCATAATCATCGCCGTGTGACACATTTGCATTAATTCCTGTCACACGAAAGCTGTTCTAAATGTCACAACACAGGGATGGCACGTTACCTGCTTTTCACAGTAGCATCCCAGGCCACCTGTACATTTTTGGATGGCACAGGAATTAATGACACAATTTGACACAAAAGAAATTTCTTTGACAATGACAAGTTTTAAAGTAACAAGAGGAAATTCTTAAAAAAATCTTTCCATCAACTGTCTAAAACCCATCCATTGGTATTCCTGGTGTACCGCTTTCCTAGAGATGCCAATCCCAGTACCCCAAACTGGGTGCCTTAAACACCAGAAATAAGGAACCCCATCATTTGGATGAGGTATACTTCAGTATGACCTCGTCCTAATAATGATGTTGGCAATGACCCTATTCCCCCATAAGGTCGATCTCTGACATCCTGGAGGTAGACTTCCACTTCACTTTTTGAACCTATCAACCCCATTACAAGTGGAGTCCGAGGACTTGGGTGCAGAGCTGTAGAGACAGAAGGCCGTGTGTGGACCCTGGGGCCAGACAGCAGGAGGAGGAAGTAAGAAGACGACGAATGGAATCCGCTTTGCGATTCTGCTCTAAGTCTGGCGGCAGACTTCTCTCCCTGCAGATTTGGGTGCAGGGACTGTGGTTACTGATGACGATACGGGGCCAGTCCCCAGCTGAACACGCTCACAGTCTGCACTTGAATCCAGGCTGCAGAGCGAAGTTTGTGGTTGCGGCCAGGACACTCTCTGCTTGATGCCATATGTTTGAAAATGTCTAAATTTTGTGCAGAGACACACGGGCAGTGTTCTTGTAAGTGCAGTTACATAATTAGGGCATGGACTTGCATAATAATTAGCATGTGTAATTAGGCACAGACTTCTTGTCCTTTAATTAGACAATCAAGACATCTAATTACAAAATTAAGATGTAATTACATGGCCCAAGATCTTCATAGTTCTTTCCACCCATCAGAGATTCCATTTAGAAGATAATTCACACACACACACACACACAAAAAAAAAAAATTGATGAAGAAATCAAATCTCCCAATCTGAGGACGTTAAAGAAAATGTTAAGTGATCTTTCCCCTTAGGTGCAAGGGTAGTTGCTTAAAATATCATCACCCCCTCGAAAGAACAACTTTCACCAGTTACGCGTCAACCTTTGGTACATGCGCTAATGAAGAGGAATATTGGCATGACTAATCCGTGTAATTCGCTGTGGCTCTGGAGGAGGGTTTATAATTACACTTGAACATGGACTTCAATGTGACGTCCTGGGAATTCATTCAAACCTAATAATGCCCCAGATGGAAATCTTAGGAAAGCTGGGAGGAGAAATATCCTCCCCATCACCCCACTTGGGTCTCCCTTGCACCCCCTTTATTTTATTGTATTTTATTTTTTGCAGCCACTTTAAAATAGACCTACTATTCAGAATAATGCAAACTCAGAACCTAAGTTCTGTCTTCCTTTCTCTGAATATCTGAGTACTGGCTGAAATGTTCTTAAGTGCTCCTTATCAGACTACAGGTGGAAAAGGTCAAAAAATGTAGCAAGTATGCCATCCTTCCCCATAAGCGAGCAATTCTCCCAACACTGGTTTTTGGGCTCCAGTGCTTCTAGGAAGCCGGATAATAGTGTTATTCCCTGTTATTTTGCCTTGCCCCGAAATCGTGATTTGGCTGATCTCTGCACGGTGCTGCACGCCCAGTTGGACTCATGGGTTTTTCTGAACTAACTGAACTTTCGACCTCACTGGCTGGCTGGTGAGGGATCCGAACCATATGTCCAGGTTTTTCGGAGCCAGTTCTGACTTTAGCTGTGTTCTCCCTCTGTTCCCATAAACTCCTGAACTATCCTGGTAATTCCAATGTTGTGACAGCCACGCGGCGCTTCTCAGACTGCCGCTCTCTCCTGGGAAGTGGCACAGAAATCTGTCGGACCACACTTCCTGATCTGGGGTTAAGACAATCTGCTTCCCATATGGTCTCAGGCCAGGAAAACAAGGGGTCCTAAGTGGTTGGTGACAGGATCTCCTCTCTACGGCTGGCCCCTGTCCTTCTTTTCCATGTGTCGAGGGACAGGTTATGTATGGAGGGGAAGTCGGTCTTGATCAACAGAACAAGCAGATGCACGGAAGACTTGTGCTCTGCCTTTGCTGGTTGTCACCTGGCTTTCCATGGCAGGTTGATAGGCAGAGGAACCGGACAGGGTCAGGTTCCTTTTGGGGAGTTTATTGGTGGGATTCTCAGGGAGGGGAGGGCAGTCGGACCCCCTCATCCCTCAGGCAGACCCAGCCCTGAGGTTTTGGATCCCTTGATGGTTGACCTGCCACTCAAGAAGAGGCATCGCTGAGTTCCCGCCCTGCCACAGGACTCTGTCCCTCAGCCCTTAGATGTGCCAACTCGGTGCTTCCTCCTGTCCTTCCTTCCAGGGAACTCAAGATTTCTGATTCCTCACAGGGTCCAAGGCATGACTCAAACTTGAGTTTCTTGGTGTTTGAACTTGGCTTCTCCCTCCAGGTACTCCACCTCGGCGTTCTCGAGGCTGCAGGAGTTGGGCGTCCCACATCCCAGGCCTTCGCCCTTCATCGGCAACTTGACATTCTTCCGCCAGGTAAGGCCCTGACTTGCTGAGGCCAGGGAAGTTCTGTCGTCCATCCCTTCCCCCCAAACCCCATTTACTGAGCATGGAAATACGCCAGACCCCGGAACGCAGCGGTAGAACTCACACCCTCAAGTGCACCACCAAACAATGGTGTCCAGCGCCGGATGCGAGGTGCCCTGGGCTCGGTTGGGCAGTACAGGTGGCAGCCGTGGTTCTGCTTTGGAGGAGAAGGAGATGTGTCGGGGCAGAATCATCCTGGGGGAGTTCCTAAAGTAGGGGGTCCTGGGGGTGCTGTAGACAGGATACCCCACCAGGTGGGGAGCCCCATGTGAGGGGACACAGCAACAGGAGGGGGTGGCAAAGGTCGACCAGCTGCCTGGAGCACCTAGAAGCCAAAGATCAGGGAAGGAGGCTGAGGAAGGAGGCTGTGGAGAGAGACGGGCTCCACACCAAGGATTCTTCATCCACCACCATCTCTGGGTAGCAGAGGGACATCCAAGTAGAACAATACTCAAGGGACAAGAATCTAAGTGTCGCTGACATGGAGGCTGATAGGGAGAGGGCTTGGTGCCGGGTGGGGACAAAATTAAGAACTCTGGTGACCAGTAAGGAGCAGAGGACTGAAGGGAAGATGAGTCTAACATCAGCCCGAGTCTTGATGCAGAGAGTGCCCGTGGGGTGACCACAGGGGAAGGCTGGGGGTCGCTGGTGCGGCGAGAAAGCAGGCTTTATTTTAAGTATGTCACCTTTTGCCGC